TACAACATATAATGAGCAAGATAAAACAAAAAACCTCTAAACAAACCTATTAGCATTAGCCTATATAAATGACACTATATAAATAGCTTAATTGAAACAAGAACTACAATTAATTTTCAAAACTGCAAGTTCATTCTTTTTACTTACAAACATAAAAGTAAATCCAAACAAATCTGTATTTGCAGTAACCAATTCAACAATTAGCAATCCAAACATAATATATAATAATACAACAATTAAAGCAATATAGCCAAAAGAGGCCTTTTGCTTTCTTAGATGCTGGTATACTACCTACAAGAATTACAAACCAATTTACAAAACCATCAAAGAAGAAGCTAATAATGTCATAAGAAGAATTAAAAATACAAATATAACAGAAAAACAGGCTATATATATTATTAATACTATTATATTAACATAAATAGTATACAGAGTTCAAAACACTTACCTGTCTATACAACTATATAAAGTGATTACAAACTATTATCTGACAATAGTAAAACACAAAGCTGGCCTCACACAAACAGTACTTAACTCAACAGTATTCTATTATCAAATCTATAGATTACGAATTGTTGCAAATATTCAAATATAACAACACATCTTATTTATATATCAACAGCTTAATTATATCAAACTCTCAAATCTAATGCTAAAAATATGCATCTAACAAATTTAAAATGCTACCTATAGCAACAAGTCAATACTAACTAACAACACATACATATTCCACAAAAAGAATCAAAAATGTTATTAGCAAAAATCTATACAGCATACAGGAAATAGAAATAACTTTTCTAAATAACAATAACAATTGACCAAAACTAGCAGAATATAAAGACATATTAATAGATATAGTACTTTAGCAAATTAACAAACTACACCTAGTCAAGGCCAAACTTAACAAAATTGAATTGCACTCTATCAAACAATGTACTATTATAAGAATAAATACAGACATATTAATATAAACACAAATACTATACATAATACTACATATATCTAAAGAAAGAGAACCTAAATAGTACAAATTTATAACAGAAAACATAAAACAAAATCTTAGCAACAACAACTACAACCTTATCACTTCAAACCCATTTACCTTTAATTCATACCAAACATTTAAAAAGACATCTTGGACAATAAAAAAGAATACACTAAGTAGATATATAGAACAAATATCATCTATAAAAGACAATCAAGCAACAATCAATTACTGAACTATAGACAGTATATCCATCAAGCTAAAGCCATGCAGAGAATATTGATGAAATAATACCAATTTTAAAAAAGAAAAATGCATAAGCAAAATTAAACTATATAATCTTCAAAAAATACTAGTAGACAGTAAAAAATTCATAAAAGCAAATATATGAGACCTAAAATAAACAATATATAACTTAATTAGTAAAACACAAAACCAAAGCAATATTTAAAAAAAATATAAACTAACAGAAGAAGCAATAGAAAACCTAGAAACAGCTAGCTACCTACAAGAGCTACAACAAAAATGCAAACAATACAAAGATATTATCTTTCAACTAATTCAAAAACAATATACAATAATATATAATATTCTATTATTAAAATTGCAGTTCAAAACAATGCTATCTAAATGATTCACAACAACTAAAACACTTATTACAACCCTAATACTCAGTTTAATAATAACACCAAATGGAGCAAGGATCCAAATTATTACAGACAAAAATCATTTTACAAAACTAGTTAAAACAGTTTATACAACTACAACAAATAATACATATCAAATATATTACTTAAATAATTAGTTGATAGCTAACATGAAAAGTACTAATTACAAGAAAAGACTTAAACTATACATTTATAATAAATGATCTTATAATATATACTACAAATATAAACTTTTCTACTGTAAAAATAGAAATAAGTTACAAAAATATATACCATGATATCTTATATCTTATATGACAAAATACATCTATTGAACATAATATTAGAAAATTCCTCTATTATACACAGAATGCATAATATATAGCATATTGGCAATCACAAGCATGAGCTTAAATATGAAATACTATTTGCAAAGACATAGATTAAAAATCTTTCTATAACTATATAAATTATCAATGTTTACTAACACAAAAACAAACAAATCTGAAATACTTATAACTAAAAGCATTTAAACTAAAATTACTATTAGAAGAGCTGCCAATATTAGAAGTATTATATTAATATAACAATAAAAAGTACCCTAACCTAATATGCACAAGATGCCAAGCAATAACAAAAAGCAACTATTATTTGATAACTTGTGATAGCAATAATATGAGCTTATAAAAATAATAACAGAAACAGTTAACAAAACTCTAACCAAATATAAAGTTGCAAATGCCAAAACTAGACATCAAGTCATAACTTTAATAACTCAGTATCTGTTTAACTGATTCACAAACACAACTAACAAGAGTTATACTGAAAATGCTTTTTCAAAACAGTACAAAACTAATTAACAAAATAGCAAAAGTATCAAACCAAAACACAGTTTATCAATTTACTTAATGCACAAATAATGCAAAAAATATATAAAGAAATGTAAATAATATGATGCAAGAAACAATACAACAATCTATTAAAAGCAAATATTTCAAAGACAGAAGCTAATAATAAAGACATACTGATAGTCTCAACAGCAATAGCAGATATTCACAATACAGAATTAATTGAATCAAAAATAAAAATTAAACTTAAAATATAAAGAAAAATATTTATAAATCACAATACTTTACCAAATTATATCAATACAATCATAAACTAAGTGAAAACTTTAACTCTCTTTAGCAAAATTTGGGTTATAGGTAAAGTAGTCTAAGCCTTAGCTTTCAGAAATTAAATAATATGTACTACAGATAAAAATGTATTTAGATATTAATAATCAATAAAGAAATCAAGACAAAACCTCACTTTAAAAAAAAAAAAAAAAAAAAAAACACAAAAAAGAAAACAATATTTCAAACTTAATATAAATAATCAAGAAATACAAGCACTTTAAAACATTCATACAAAGTTATATAAATCTGCTTTACAATTACTATTATCCCTTTTACTATTCTTCTTAGAAATCCTCCTAATTCAAAATACAATACCAGATCCTATATATTAAAACCAACTCATAAACCTATATTAAAAAATACTACTTCTAAATTTAAATAATCTACACTTCTATACAAATGCCTTAATACTAAATTCACAAACAGATAACATATCTACTGATATTGTCTAAATTTTTAAAAATAATATTTAAATTAAATTTAATGCTTCTATAACTCATACACTAAATTTTATATATATAGAACTAACAGTACTTATTTTTTTATTTCTTATTTTATCTGCCAATTATTAAATTTATATTTATCTTGATAGTCTATCAACTATTTAAACTTTTACCAATTCTATACTCTATAACTATAACTTACAAATCAAACAAAATAATTGGAACATTATATATATTTTAAATTTTTTAATAAAATATAAAAATATAAATTATATTACACACAAAATCAAATTATACTCAAACAATACTTTATATAATATAGTTAATACTCTGCTAAACAAGTGCTAACTTAATCTTGAGCACTTCTACTTACCTACTTTTTTTACTTGAAATCAAATACCAATTACATATAAACTACATAAATTTTGCAAGAACTTACTCTCAATCCAAATATTTAACAAATTTTTTAACTAAAATTATTATAAAACTTTTCAACTATAAATATTTTACTATTAACTAAAATTATCAACTCTCAAAATTCTAATTTCAAACTATATTCTATTAGAATTAAAATACTTCTTAATACAATGTTCAATTTAAATATTTACTATTTTCTTCTTTATCTAACTCCAAACTGCTCATATTGCAATCAATATAAAAATACTAAATACTTACTTCTATGCTTACTTCACCTTTACAATCCCAAAGGCATTCTCATCAATAAGATTATCAATGTTTTAAATTTATTAAACCTTCTAAAAACTTCTTTAAATACAATATTACAAATTCTTCATTTACAAAACCTTTACTCTAATTTTAGTATATACAATACAATTCTTCTACTTATACAAAGAACAATAACTCTTAATTAATATATGCAACTGCAACTAATTCTAAAAAAACCAATTAACAATTTTTTCATCTCTTTATCTAACTCTCTACTCAAATGGTTTAACTCTTTCATTTGACAAACTTGTAATATTAAACATTATAAATAGGAATTAGTATAAGAAATTTTTACTTCTACTAAAAAGAAAAACAATATTCACTTACCTATCTTCCAATCTTCAAACCTCAATAATACTTTTTTTATATTCAATATTAACATAGATAGACTGCCAGAATTCTAATTAAAAAGACTAAAGAAAAAGAATATTAGACTAATTTGATATACTAATAAACTAATTATAATTATATACAGACCATCTAGATTAAAAGTCAGATAACAAAAACAGAAATATACTAAAGTACTAGAAATATGCTATAAAGTAGTACTAAAATTTGAATAAACTTTGCAAAAATACAATCTTGTTAAAATCTGTAGAATAAATAGATAAATTAACAAAAGAGCCTTTTATGTCTTACTATCAAATAATAAACTTGCTACAGCTTAGGTACTAATACAAAAAAAAAGAAGTTGAACCTGAATGATTTTTAATAAAAAGCAGCAATAGGATTATTTGATTTTAGAATAAAATAGTTAGAGATATACAGATATTATTTAAATAAACTAGAGAGTTTAAATAGAACATTCACAAATGATCAAATATAACAAATAATAGATAACTTTAAAACAAAATCTTTAAATAAATAATGACTAAAGTTATGCATATAAGTAACTATACTTTTATAAATTATATATATATTTAAGATATTACTAATTAATAAAAAAATATTAATTTGACTAAATGATTAATTACTTATTTAATATATATATATTATTAAAAAAATATTAAAAATTTTTAAACTATTTCTATATGATAAATGTTTAAAATCATAAAATGTTGATCAAAAAAATATTTTGGTTTATTTTTTTATAATAACTTTTATTATATATAATAATTCTATAAAAAATAAAATAAGAATAATAATTCTAATATAGTGATTGAGTTATTATTCTTTAAACAATAGGTTCAAAGTTCAAATCTTACTAGTAACAGAATTTTAAAAAATAATTCTATTTTAACAACTTGAATAAAGTATTTAGACTTGTAATTTTACAATTCTAGTTATATCAAAACTAATTTTGAAAGTGTACAATGTTATATAAATAAATTTAAAAAATATATACTTTATAAGAAGTTCTGTTTGAAACTTCTAAATAAAGAAATAATACAATTTTTAATGATATTACTTATAAAAACCTTGATTTAAAAAAGGAAATTAGAAGTAAATAACTTGTATAGACAAGAACCTTTAGGTAAAAAAAGTCCACCAATCTGACTACTAATTAATCTAGATATAAAGTTATATTATGCAGAGCTTATTGAATTAGTAGTATAAAAGAACTTACAAGAATAGATAAAGTACTGGTAAGATTATAAAAATAAATACTAGAATTATATAAACTTTATAAAAATATAGTAGTTTAATAGTTAACTTTGACTGCAAATGTTAATTCAACTAAAGTGAATTCAGATCAGCTATAAATAAGAATATAGAAGACATTAAAAGGTTTATCTTAAGGACAAACTAGTTCTAAAATTAAGACAAAGATCTAAAATGATTTAGTAAAGTTAATATAGATTATAAATTCAAAGAGTTTAAATAGAACATCTATGCAGAGATGTTAGGTATAGCAACTGGTAAAGAACTCTTAAACAAACTTCTTAAATAGATAATATAAAAAAATTATATGTGTAATTAGTTATACACTCTTTTTGTAATAGTTTTTATGAAAATATATTATTTAAAAAATATTAATAAAGTCAAAAGACCAAAGTAATCACCTTAATACTAAAAAAAAAAATATTTATATTAAACTAAAAAAAAATTTAAAAAAAAATTTTAAAAAACAAAATTAATAATCATTGATCTTAAATTTAATTGATCAATTATTTAGAATCATTATCATATAGTACTGCATATAGTATCCTAAGTATTTTATAAAAAAACTAAAATTAATTAAATAATACTTTTAAAGGTACTACAAAAGAGAAGTACTATAGAAAGAGTATTATTAATTAATGTTATTATAATAGAAATATTATTAGTTTATTTAGCTTATATAATAAAACTGATTAGTAATATTCTAATTATAAATATAATATAGTAATAAGATATAAAAATGTAAAATTGAGTTTATTTGTAAATAAATAAATAGTGATTTACTTAAAAAAAAAGATTTAATTTTATATAACTTTATCATTATTAAAATAGGCCTACAAGTAAAAAAAATTACAAATTATATTACAATTATGAACAAAATATGATGACAATAAAATGCATATAAAAAACTTGATATTATTTTATATTATAAAAGTGATTATAGCAAACAAAAAACAGTTGCTAAATTTAATGCACTTAAAAAATCTGTGTCAAATTTTGTTGATTATTGTTCTAATTCACAAATAAGATCTCAAAAATCAGATATAATATAACATAATTAGAAAATTTTTAAAACAAATGTTTGTTTTGTTAAAAATCATCTATTTTTCAAAAATCAGTATAAAAAACTACTTTTAGTACTATAACAAAAAAGTTTCTTTGAGTAATTTTATTATATAACTATTTAATTTCTAACTTTATACTAAGTACTAATCCTAATATTAATGAATTTTAAGAATTTTTACTATATTATAGTGATTGACAAAATCTAATACAAATTTTTTGAGTACAAATTTAATATTGAAACCAAGTAGCTTCAAAATTGGATATCCAAAAAATTACAATTTTTAAAAGTACAACCAGGTTTAAAAAGATTTAATAAAGATGTTTCTCTAAAATATCCTAATTTAGAAGTTTTTTGATTGGATGAATCAAAGAAAGATAACAAAATCAACAAGCAGTTTTATGAAATATGATCCAACTAAAAGCTAAAATGCTTTCACAACAAAATGAATAACAAAATGTATATCCTAATATTCAATTATTTACTTTTAATAATAAATAGTTAGACAGTTTAATGTGTTGCAATAATTTGAGTAATTATTGTCATACTACATTTTTATAACATTTACCAGATGATTTAATTAAAAAACAATAATCATTTTTGGTATTTGTTATATATAGATATATTTAGTATAATTATTTATTTATATTAATTAGTAATATAAATAAAATACTTTTATTATTTGATTTATTATATAATACTATTATTGATATATTAGATATACAATTAATTTGTATTCATATTACTGAATATGAAAAAAATAATTTTACAGTAGTTTTAATTTGTATATCAGATGATACTAAACTTCTACATTTTGTAATTTTTAAACTTAAAAATATTCTATAAGAAAATTTTCTATATAAAGTTATTGTCCAAGCTAATCCTACTGAATGAATGAATAAAAATGAAATACTTTACTGAATTGAGAATGTTTGGACCAATTATTCAAGAATTTCAAACCTATGATTATTACTAATCTTAAATTAATTTTTAACTTATATTGCTAATTCTATAAAATGGCATTTTGATGAAAAAAATACCAACATTGACATTATATCTGAAGGTTTGATATTCCACTTATAACCTTTGGATGTTTCAATAAATAAATCATTCAAAGCAAAGGTATTAAAAAAAAAAAAAACTTAATAGAAATTTTTTTTATATATTTTTATTAGATGTGACAATATTATAATAAGTAGATGATTAATTCTGTAAAAAAAATGACAGCTGCTGATAAAATTAAAAGACCTTCTTATGAAATTGTAGTAAATTGGATCAAAGCTTTGTAAGATGCGATTGACATTCATTTAATTTAACGGTCTTTTAAATGCTGTAGTATATCCAATAAATGTAATGGAATTGAAGATGAGTTAATCTTTAATTATGTTTATTTGGATCAAACAAGTCAACCTAATGATGAGATCGAATTACTAAATGAAGAAGATCAAGAAATAATTAATGACCAAGAAATAGATGATACAATCGCAATTGATATAGTGAACAAAAATCAAGAAACATTCAATGAAATTAAAGAAATTAACATTAATGCAGAATTTGCAAAGGAAAAATTGATTATTACATTCAAAATGAAATGAATTATTATAATTTATAAGATGATTAGTAATTAGATATAACTAGAAAATTAACATTATTTTTTTTTAAAAAAATAAAAAACATTATTACTATAATTGCTAGCATTGATATTAAATCTATAAATAAAATTATCGTTATATGCTTTTATATAAATTATAATGTATCGAATTTGTATCATAATATTAGCATTAGAATAAATACAATGATAAATGCCGGCAACCTGATTAATACCAGGGTATTTTTTTAAAAATGGTAGAATTTACGATTTAATAGTACCCGGATACTACTTAAAGGGGATACTTCTTCAAGGGGGTACTATATGCAGCGCTGTACGGTATAGAGATGGATTACCAAGTTATTTTTGTCTTTATTTAATATAGTTTATAAATTTTAAAAATCTGATACAGCAACAATCTGTTATGTTAGTAAGAATCCTACTTTATTTTTTTTTATTTTTTTTTTATTTTTTTATTTATTTTATATTTATATATTTTATTGTTTATGTTTTTTTTTTTTTTTCTTATAAAAAAATATAATTAAATTGATGTATTTTATTATAAGATAATAATCAGATGCATTTTCAAATATAACCTTTTTTCTTATAAAATTAGATGATCAATGCAAACAAATTGCCTGTATAGAGCATGATGCCCTAATGAAAGTTAACTAGCAAGACTACCCAAATGAAAAAGAAAGAGTATAAGCTTCTAACACTATATTAAATAATTATTAAACAAAAATTTAAAGTATAAATTATAAATTAAAAGCTCTTAAACTTTGCAATATTATTGTATTAGTCAATTTTCAAATTTTCAGACTGACATTTTTCTTAATAAACATTTCAACCCTTAGATTACTATTATGTAAATAATTTAACGTTAATGACTTTTTAGCTTAAGCAAAAGTTTCTTTTAATGCCAACACCTTTTTTTACTCAAGAACGTAATATTTGCATATAAATTCATACATATATACATATTTACCACGAGAAAAGGATTTTTTTTGTAAATTCATGAAACACAAGATTGGAAAAATAATTCGAGTTTAGATATTGTAATCAAGGTAAATAAATATAATTTTTGCCAAGTAATAATCATGAAACTATGATTTAACAAAGATGTTGCGTAAACATTTGTAAAACGTTAAGAACGTATGCAAATAAGTTAATTTTACCATTAGTAATATTTGAGAGAGCTTTTCTTTGATCATGAGTTTCACGTTTAGTATTTGTTGCTTTTCTGCGTCTTTTTTGCTTTGGAGTTTTTTGTTGTCCAGCATCTTCAAACGAATAAAAAGAATAGGTAAACGGATCACCCTGTCGTAATTTACTGTATGTGCAAAAAAAAAAAATTTAGTTCACTAGATTATCATTAAATTAAATTTGATTCACTAACCTGCGAAGGCTTGGTTCTGCGTAATTTACATTCTGATGATTCCGCCGCGGACGAATGCCACCTCGTTCTTCATCAATTGGAATATCTACATTAAAAAAAAAGAAATAGTAAAAACTAGGTAATGCGTAGCATTAAATGTTTGGAGCTGACTGATTATCGTGTAATCAACCAATAATAATCACACGGGCTTCAACACGTGACATTGTTGCATCGCCAAGACGCAAAACTTACTTTTTTGATACACCTAAACATGCCCTAAAATTTATAGATTTTTATTATTATAAAAACATACAATCCTATTAGTTAGTTTTAGGGTATGTTTAGGTGTATCAAAAAAGTAAGTGCAGAAGTATCAAAAACATAAGATTTGCAGTGTCCTCCGCTTCGCTCCAGACAATAATGATAAACAAATACAAGACTTAGAATATTGATAATGCTAATACCAGTATCTTTAGAAATTGTTTTTGAACGTGACTTGCAGGTTGATACTTGCTCCTCGGATTTTAATGTAACATTCATTTTCTGACATGTGGGTAAATCAATTGATTGTTTATTTGTAGATTTACTTATTGGTGGAGAAGCTGCTAAAGGTCGATTTATTGTGCTGATAGGAATTCTAGATTTTGTTTGTTGACATTTGTGATCAAATGTAGATAAGGATTCATTTTCATCCGGTAAATATTCTTCACATAAGTCTGACGAATGTACATCGTGTTTTCTGTAATTAAAAGAATAAATAAATAGGCCGTAAAGTTTTATATAATACTTAATATATTCTTACGGTGATGAGGAAAGACTTTCTTCACTTATCGGTTGCAATACTTTTTGCTGCATTCTATAGATTGTGAGCTAAAAACGCAATATAGTATGATAAGTTAAGTTCCAATGATGTACATTGATAAATGCGACAATATAGTGCGAATTACCATATTAGGAGATTTTCTTTTATCAGGAAGTTTTTCCAGAGCGATGTCAATTTCTGGAGTATTATTTGTTGCATATTGATAACTTCCTTCTGCAGTATCATAATTGTTGATATCTTGGTCGAGAATTGAGTCTTTTGGAAAAAAATGTATACCCGGTATATTAATACCAGATAAAAATATTTGTATAAATATATGCAAGAGAAGTGTACCATCAGAATTAAAACTTAAGTTCGCGCGAATAAAATTTTTATTAGAATCCGATTCCATTAACGCGTTTAAAGTATCAGCAGCTCCGCGAAGTTGTTGAATTAAATCATTTATTTGTCCACTTGTAGACTGTAAAAATGAAACATTGTATTTGAAAATATCCCGATTTTCAAAGTTAACCTTTAGTTACCATTAATTAAATATTTTTGAAAACGCATCTAAGCGTGCTTATTATTTAAATTTTTCATACCATAACACTGTCTTTAAATGTTTCATTATTTATATTCTTGTCATTTTTCAATTTTTTAATTTGATCATTTAATCTTGCAATTGTTGCCCTTAATTCAATATTTTCAACTGAAAGTCTTGAAATTTCAACTTCAGCTTTCCGTAATTGTAAAGCGTATAATGTATTGGACCTATTATTTATTAAAGAAAACTACGTGATATCCAAGCGTATTTATGAGTTACATTGTTTTACTTTAAGTTCTTACTTTATTATAGCACGATTTTGTTTTATATGTTTTCTTTTAACTATTTATTTCAAACAATAGATTTAACAAGAGTTTATTAAGCATGTTTAGATATTTTCGCTACGATCAAAATTTATGAACTGAATACTAACATGAATCTAAAGTTTCCATATTTACCACATGTAAGAAGGATTTGTAAAAGGGTTGATAATTTATTTATATTCACTAATTTGATTTGTATAAATAATATATTTCAATCCCTCTTTTAATCACTCGATTAATCAGTGCATACGTGTATGTACGTACATACACGTAATGAGCTTACATTTCGCGACTAGAGTTAATACTTCAATCCGGATATATATATATCCAGAATGGTATTTTATCATATTCATAGTAATTTAAATCCGGATTTATTTATATCCGGATATATATTATAATAAAAACATATTAATTAGGATTGAAGTATTAACTCTACGTATTCGCAGAATATATATATATTTTATATTTTTACTAATGCATTAATTATATATCACTATTACAAATAATATTCTAATTCATATAGTATTTTTATATGTATATAAAATCTTTAAACCAAATTTTCTGTTCTATTTCCTAATTTAGTAATTTTAACATATGCATCAACACCATAACCATCCAAGCTATAAATATTTAAACCACCACCCCAATATTCAGCATAAACTTTACTCATTGGTAAACCTATGCCAAGGCTTAAATCAGGAGGTACAATATGTCTTTCATATTCTTCTACTCTGGCAGCCATTTGTGGTACTTTTGAAAAGTTTGTAAATTTATGTAAAATTTTTTTATCATTACTTTTACTCGCAAATGACCAAATATAAGGATATAGCTTATCAGGTATACCACCACCTTGATCTGACACACGGAAATATAAATCCGTTGGACCAGAACATACTGTCACAGTGATGGATGGAAAAAGTTGTGAAGATTCGAGCATTTGTTTTGACGGAGATTGAGAGGTTGATAATATTGAAGGAGAATGTTTCTCTATTACCCCTCTTATAGAATTCTTTAACAATTCATAGATAATATATTCTATGTGATCTGGTATGTAAGCAAAAGTAGTATCCACTTGACCATCGACAAGAACTTGTGGTGGTTCAACATTATAATAAGTTTTATAAAAACTTCTTGTCATTTTGGCACATTTTTCCACGACTTCTTTAGCCTCACAATGAGTTGATATAACACCAATCCATCCATCATTCTCACTTTGATCATAAGAATAGCCAGGATCATGCCAATTTTCAGTTAAAGCAATTTGTTGTTCGGCCAAAACTCTTCTTGAAATACGTGATCTTAACATTGTATTCATAAATCGATCTATTTGTTCTCCTGATAAATGCTCCGAACATTCCATTATACCCATCGCTAATTGAGGAATTACCACTAAATGATCTTTTAACAAATTTTTTATAGTTTCACACCATTCATTATTTTCTTCAATAGTTCTTATAGGAGGAATTTTTCTTAATCTCTCAAATGCAAGCCAATATAGATCATAAACTCTAGCAAGATGAGGATTTGTTCCCACGATAAAAGGTAAATTTTGGAAATCTCTTATTCTATGAGCTATTCGTACAGGAAGCTCACTTCTAACATAATTCCCACTTTTAATAATTCTTTCTTCAGTCAAATTACGACCAAATACTATAAGTTGTCTAAGAGTAATTGGGTTGATGGATTGAGATGCATATTGATCAAGAATTCGATTCTGATAAAAATGTTGTGGAGAATAAGCTCTGTATTGTCCGGTAGGTTTTATGGATGTTTGAGGAAAAGATTGTGTAGTAGAAGAATTAACAGTGGTAGGTGGTGGTGGAGCTACATTATTGGGTGAAATGGTACGAAAATTAGGATTCAAAGAAGTGTATTGTATTGGTTCAGCTTTGGATGATGTGGTAGTTGAAAATAATAATTCTCCAGTTAAACCACCTCGAGAGTTCTGAAGGAATATTGTTAAGGATCGAGAAACTTTTGAAAAACTCGTTTGAGTACGAGAATTCGTTAAAGATAGCATTTAATTAATTAAAATTAACTAAAGAGATTTGCTATTTATCACCACTGGTGATCATAACCAGTGTATAATATAAAATAAATTTAATTAACAAAACTACTTTGGGGTTCTAATAAAAAAAATTTTCCGTAAAATTCTGAGTATAAACTTTTGACCTAAAAATATTTAAAAAATTAATTTTTGCTTTGATAAAAATTTAATTTTAATTATTGTAAATCACTAGTGATCACCAATGGTGAAACGAAATAATTTTCTTAACTGAAATAATGAAAAAAAAATTTTTGATCAGGTTTATATATAAAAAAAAAAAATACCCAATCCGAAATCTGATTATTCTGACCAAACTGAGTCATATCTATATTTAAATAATCACGCATTGCATTTCTATTCCAGGCAGTATTTCTCGGTGAATCATTATGAATATAACGAGAAAATGAGGTTAAATCGCTTGTAATTGCAGTCCGATCTAATATAAATATGGTAATGGATCATTTTTAAATACAAATATGGTAAAAGATTATCTCAATTTTTAATTGGACTACCACATTTTTAGTGCATCACATGAAGAAATGATTAGATAAAGTAAAAAAGAGAACTACTACGCCACGATAAAAATCCATTTTTAGAACGTAAACAATAAAAAATAACAAATAAAAAATAAAACATAATAATACGGCAATGATAATAGTTTGATCATATAATTTATTTATTTTTTTTAGTAATAAATCTTAGTAATTTTATCATATATATTATCTAATATAATTTTATAATTTATAATTTAAACCTTAAATTTACATAATTACTTAATTATCGTTATTTCATAATATATAATTATGAATAACGATTCAATTTTTTTTTTAATCGGTTTAACCGATTAATATCTTAAAAAAAAACCATATCGTTATTTTTCATATAATATCTGATCATGTGAACTAATAATAACAAATAGTACAAATTATGGTGGCTATATGTATTGAAGTTCACAAAAAAGGGAGGGGGGAAATCAATAAGAAATGGTTCGAAAAAAAAGGATAGATAATATGAGTCAGGCAATTGTTCGTCAAAATAATCCTAAAAGTACGTATAGATAGAAAAATGAAACCAAATTGTCTCTCAGAAAAAAAAAATTTTTTAAATACATACATATATATGTATATATATGTGGATAAAATAATGAAATGTATATGTATATATGTACAAAAGTTCAATATAGGTTTTTTTTTTCGTCATCTAGTAATAATAAAAACTCGCAAAATCCACTCCGCAAGGTAAATCAATTCTCAAATCTCCTTGATATAATGTCGTAACGTTATCAAATATAATGGGCAGCTCATTGGAATTAGACAATACGAACATATCCGCCTCTGTTGTGAATAAATTCTCATGAATTCCAAGTGGGTTCGAAGATAGTTGATTGTTAACGTTATTTGTTGTATATTTATGGATTTCTTCAAGTCCATTTTGATCGCTCGAAATTGTGTAAATATTATTGTCGAATGAAGGTAAAGATTCAAAATGATGTTCAAAGGTTTCACGAACTGGTGTTTGAAGGGGTGATTCTTCGATAGTACCATCGGAAAAGTATGAGTAATCATAATGAAAGCCAGGATCATTGTTGATAATTGGAGAACTGTCATTCGAATTTTTAGGTTCCTGTTCGAAGCTCTGTTTGGGACTTTGTTCAGGACTCTGTTCAATTTTCTGTTCAGGGCTCTGTTCAGGGCTCTGTTCGGGGCTCTGTTCAGATCTCTGTTCAGATCTCTGTTCAGAGCTCCGTTCAAAGCTTTGTTTAAGGCTCCGTTCAAAGCTCTGTTCAGAACTTTGTTCAGAATTTTGCTCAGAGCTCTGTTCAGGACTTTGATAAAGTTCACAACAATCAAAATGTTCATCTTCATAATAATTATCATACATTGCAGAATCATCATCATTCATTTTTTTAGTAAATTCAGAATCGAAATCAGTGTTACAAGTTTGGTCAAGTTCTGAAGGTTGATTCTGATTTTTGAGTTCCAATGGTTTCTTTGGTGATTTTTGAATCGATTTTTTGATTTTTCGAGTTGATTTTTTTTTATTGAAAGAGACTAGATTCCATTTTTCTCTTTTTCTACGTTGATTTGAATCAGGGCACATCTCATTACGTCTGTTATAAGCTTCCTTACCAAGCCTTCGATATTCGTTTTTAACAAATTGAGGTTCTTGTTCCCATGATTGTGATGTCATTGATGAAATTACATTCATCGGAAAATTATAACCCTCGGCTCTAGCAGCTTCAATAAAAGCACGACGATATATAATAAAGGCATTAGGGGCACGGGTAGGAACACGACCATCAGGAAGGACGGTAATTAAATCACGCGGATCGATCGTTGGAGGGAAAGGTAATTTTATGAATGGCCTTGCATCGTTGATTACCTGATTTGGTAACGTAGGATCGCTAGAATCTATGAAGACGCAAGCGCGTGACTGATTTTTCAAGCTATTAACATGGTAACCAGTTTTATAATGTTCGCCCATCATACAGAAAAAAATTTTTTTAACTTTTTTAACGTTCAATTTGCCTGAAAGCTTTTTATGGTTGCAAATGAACTAAGAATATGTGAGGTAAACGGCATATTGGAGTATTTATGCTTTTTCCCAGTAGAGCTGTGAAGGTTTCAATTTCCGTTAAAAAAAAATTAGCTTCTTCCCCACAAAATATAAGGCGTTTTCCTTGAGAGGAATCATCTTGGTGTGTTATAGTTCATGATCTATTTTAGGATTCATTCAATAATAATAGAAATTTGGACCGGATAGTTGACAGTCACACCGCATAAACATGCATTAACACACCAGAAGTATATAATCTTCGGCCGTTAAAAGTCCGTTAGAAAATTATGAGGCCGGCGTTGTGGCGTTAAGAAACTAAGATTAACAGATTTAATGATTGTTTCGATGTATTATGAGAGAATTGCCACATGAGAATTAACAATCCAAAAAATCCATCAATTCAATTAATACTTTGCCACCTTTGAAGTAAATGATATATTATTATATAATATAAAATATTTCATCTATATAATTAGAATAAAAAAAAAAAAAAAAAAAGATTTTCAATTCTACATAGAAAAAAAAAAAGATTATTCAGAATTTTGGTGGCGAATTCAATCAAAAATTACCTTAAAAGTATATTACAATCAGGTTTGCATCGAATTCAAGAAAAAAGTTCATTGAATTCTTCCACGTTTGTCAAGGAATTTATAAAATCATTGTCTTGAAGAAAAAAAAACATTACTGCATTGTTGATTTGTAAACTTAAGATCTTTTTTTAGATAAACCCGTTTCATTGATCTTGTATAAAAGGACAAGTTCACGAGGAATTGCAGGGTGGCATCTTTGCAGTAATTAATAAAACTTTTCCCGCCTATTGTTCCTACTATTTACACAAGTGTCACCCCCTTGTGACATTACTCGGAACATTCCCCGAATCATTCCAACCACCAAAATTTGAGAGAAATCATAGAACTGCATCATGGCGTTAAATTTTGCCACGTCAACCATTCGCAGTTTATTGCACATGTTATCATTATTATCTCTTACGATATAATCCTTGCATTTAAATTTCCCCCAACATTTTTAGGCATTGAATTTTTCCAACAATCGAGGCATTGACCCAAATCTACGCAAGTACGTACGTACATACTTACGTACTTGAAATCTCACTTTGATCATTTTCAGACTAGAATTGTAATATGAACAATATGGTGATTTTTTTCCATTTTCAGTTGTTTCCAAAATTCATGTTTTGCACATGGCAGTTAGAAGCAATCGGAAGATCTTATTATCTTCACGTCACGAGTCCGATAAATATTGCGGGGTAGAATTCTCTTTTTTTCTTTAGTCACCGCTGTTTTTAAAATTGACAGTTCTTTTGACAAGTGCATTGACGCTGCAAGAGTAATTTCACGAGGGTAAATCCCATTCATCGCTCGTTCGCGAAATCTCGGATATGGTTATGCTAACATCACACCTTAAAATTTTAGATAATCTCATGCAATCACATTTGGGATCTTTGCTATGAAAATCACCCTTCGACATTTTCCGATCGGGTTAATTCGGACAAACTTAGACAAACATACCGGTTCTTGCTTGCAGTAAATCACCTTTTGCCTTTATTAATTCAATAGTTTATAGAATCAACTATTGAATTAATAAAGGCAAAAGGTGATTTACCGCAAGCAAGAACCGGTATGTTTGTCTAAGTTTGTCCGAATTGGCCCGATCGGAAAATGTTGAAGGGTAATTTTCATAGCAAAGATCCCAATTTCATAATATGCTAGATTTATAAAATTCGCATAGAATTGCATGACTATCATCTTAATAGTAAAATTATACAACACATAAAAATTCCTATATAACACGATAGATATTACGCCCGCATTAAACGTCCAATCCATGCTTTCTTTTCATGTGTTTGATATTACGAAATTATCGATTGCTTAAAAAAAATTTTTTTTAAATCTCGACTTGAAGAACAAGTATAAATTAAATGCTAGTTTTTTTTTAACTTTCATATTTTAATTAAAAAAAAAAAAAAAAATCGGGAAAATGAAATTGCCGTAAATGATATAGTTGTTGTTAAAAAGAATAGATAACATTCTCGATTGTTTTTAATATTGTTGTTTTTTAATTACATTATAAATTACATTTTGAATTGCATTATGAATTACATTATGAATTACATTATGACATATTTTACACTATGATTGTAATGAACGATTTGATCGATGAATCTTTTTTATGCTAACATATTTACGTAACAGCAAATAATTTTTTACACTCGTCTTTAATCAAGACTAAACATTGGTTAAAAAATAAAAATGGGAAAAACGCATTTAATTTTATGCGGTAAAGTTAGATAAATTAATTGAATACATGATGCAAAACCCGTTCCATCTTTTTCGTTTAAAAAAAAAATTATTATTCTTTTTGCTTTTTTCTCCTTCTTTACCTTTGATTGAAAACATTTCATCATCGATACCATCGTTTAAGAGTTTTCGTAACAGCTATGACAGCAATGATAAAATTATCCAAAAATGATGACAAATCTTAATGTTTGGTCAATCAATTTTACCCGGTTAACCATATCGATATTATGCATAAATTTTAACTCTACGCTCTTTCCTTCTCTCTACTGTTAAATGGAACAAACGACTACTAGTGCAATTTCAAATAACAATAGTGACAGACCGTTTCCAACTCTTCCAAATGAAATAACTTTATTGATCTTGTCGTATTTAAATCAACAAACGAGAATCAAGATCCTTAGAGTATCAAAAGCCTTTCGTAACATGGTTTATACTTCAACTTTATGGCGTGAAACTATTGTTTATAATACAAGAGGTTTTGGAAGTGAAGCTTTGGAAATATTGAAAAAAGTTCAGTCATTAGACGCTAGAGCAAGTGGATTGGATGACGAATTTGTTAGAAAGTTGGTCATGGGACTTCCTGGCCAATCACTAAAAGGTACCAAATGATTTTTTATTACTCGATCGTGCTCATTTTTAAAAAATTTTAACTTTGTTTTTTCCTTGTTAATTATAGTATTAGATTTATCAGTTAACGACATAACTGATAAAACAGTATTTTATATAGGCATTAATTGTCCAAACCTTCAAAAATTGTTTTTAGAAGGTTGTGAAGAAATAACCGATATCAAACCTTTAATTCACCTTTCTACTCATTTAAACACTTTAATCCTTTCATATTGTAGTGAATTATTAGATTTTACAATTGCTGATCTAGTTTCTCCTGTTCTTGGTGAAAGTCTGTCAAAACTGGATTTAGATGGATGTCATAGGCTAACGGATATTAGTATATATAGAATATCTTGTTATTTAAAAAATTTGGAATATCTAGCGATCGACGGTCAAGGAATTAATGATGATCCTATAATTAATGTGTTTAGAAATTGCAGAAAGTTGAATTTATTTTCAATGTCTTTTTGTGATTCCTTAACTGACAAGTGTTTATATGATATTGTATTAAATATAAGCTCTTGCTTAAAATTTTTGAGGTTAAGGAAAGGTTTAGGTTTTACCGATGAAGGGTATGTAATCTCATATATATTGAATGTTGATTTTGATTGGTATTTATTTTGGATTTATATATATATATATTTTTAACTTTATTTTTATTTTTTTATTTATATTTATAGCTTTCGTGGTTTTTTTAAGGGATTATCTCTTAAAAATCATTCATTTTACTCATTAGATATTTCTGAATGTTCTTATTTGAGTGATATAGCTCTTCAACAAATGCGTCAAGATAATATTCGTTGGTTGAACTTGGATTGGTGTTGGAATGTAAAGGAAAATAGCATTCACACAATACTTACTTCATGCCCAAATATTCAGGAATTGATGGTAACTGGATGTAACGATATAACTTGTGAATCGATCATTCGTAAAAAACTTCAGAATTTGAAGGTTTTAAATCTTTGGAGTTGTAGATCTGTTGAACCAGCCACTCTTCAATCGATCAGTGAACTTAATAGGGACGCTTATATAATTGATTATTATGGTGAGGTTTATAAAGATGGAAAGAAAATTGGTTTTAAGGATGATGTATATGTTGTTAGTGAAGATGTTGAATGGATGGTCGGGGGTAGGGAACGAAGGTGTGGTGGTTTATTGAGTGTCGGTCATCATTTAAGATTTTTTAAAGGTTATTCTGTTTAATTGGGAAAAAGCTTTGCATCTAAATAAACTTATACATAAATATATATATATCGTTAAAAGTTTGTTACTTTTGGATTCTTTATAAAGTACTACATCGTTAACCACTATCAAAATAACTATTAAAAGGTTTTTTCGATCAATCTTTAGAAATGCCTATTTTGTTTTTATGTCCATCTCAAGTATTCGAATTACTTTATCTAGTAATCAACATTGATTTCATCTGATACATTTAAGCTTAAATAAACTTGACGTTTTTATAATTTGAGATTTATATTAAAGAGATCGGTTTGCATTTGTTGGCTAGATCAAAGTTTGGCTTGACGTTACTACTCATATGCATCCTGAGAACCTTATTCGTGAATTTTAAAATGGCCAAAAAAAAAAAAACTTAAATTTGTGTTTCATAACATGTGTTAGTACCACTTGGATTTCATATCGATAAATAATAAAATATCATTAACGTTAATTATAAGATACACATAAATATATAATTAATACGTACACAATTTATTTTTTAACTTCATCAAGAATAATATTTTTGTAACCAAAATTATTATTATTATTGGCTATTTGTTATAGCAATACTGTATCTAAAAATAAGGTTATACTGCAAAAATTATACATATGTATAGATATAATATAAAAATTTTGATTATTATATTGTAATTTTAAAAGGTCAAATAGGAGTTTTTAATCAAATAATCAAATTTAAAAAATTGACAAATATTAATGAGCATAAAGCCTAAAACCAAAGATACAATATAACTTATTTTTATGATTATTTTAATGACATGAACAAATCAATGCATAGAATAATTAATAAAAACAAGCATTTAACAAATTAACAAATTTCAAGAAGTTCAACTTCACTAAGATTAAAAAAAAGAAGAAAAAATGAATAAATTATTTTGTCGAATAATCAGGTTTATAAATTTTAAACTTACAAGACCAAGGTAGAGTTAGGAGGAATCTTTGGATAATAAAATTAAAAATAATAAAATAACTTAATAGATTGACGAAATCAAATAAGATAAATAAGTTATAGAATTAATTGTCTGCTTACAATTTCACCAAAACCATTCTCATAACCATAATCAGGAGAGATTGTAAGTTTAGCTTTTTGACCGAGACTAAGCTGAGGAACACCTATTAAAGAAATAGACGTAAATTCAATGGCAACAATAGAACTTGGAAAATAGGAATAGGGTTGAGACCAATTAGCTTTAATCGATTAATGATAATTAAAATGAAATGATTTCAATGACCGTAAGGCCGTTTGAAGTTACAATTTCGTTTAACGTTCTCCCCATACCGCCTCCAAGAAATTAAACAAACCAATCAGAACGTACATTACGTCTTTGAGATTTCGATAAATCACGTGATTATGAACCAACCAATGATAATGGAAATTTTTTTGAGATAATTTGACCCTCTCCTCCCACTACGCTTAAGCCTCGAAAGGAATATTAAACGAAATTATAACTTCAAGTGGCCTAAATGTCATCTATAAATGCACTTGTTATGTATACTCTTGAAAGCACTCTAGATTTCCATAAAACTCTAAATAAAATGCAAATGCTCCAAAGGTAATGTATTTATATAAGGTTGACAGTATTAACTAAATATTAATAATTGTTGGGGACGACGCTGGAATTTCAAAATCATCTCCGACATTAATATTTAGTCTGTCAGTTAAAATAATTGATTCCAACCCCTTCAAAACAAAACTGACAACTCGCCTTCATCCCAACCTAATATTTGTTTAAAAAAAAAATAAAATGATAAAATGACTTGAATAATAATAATAATAATAAAATAATAATAATAATAGTTTACCTCTAATTACTTGGCCAACACCGATTTTACACTCGAATGGCTTACCACGATTATATGAGCTGTCAAATTGTTTACCATCTTTGATCATGCCAGTATCTAAATTCATCAAATGTCAACAAAAATATATAAAATTAAGACATAAACGAAATATGGAACCGTTACAGTGTATTTTAACAGTATCTCCCTGTGTGAAAAGAATATGAATTAATAACGGTTTGTGGTGAATTCATGTTATTCAGTTGTTCAAGGCAGGTACATACTTTTTTTGGGAAGGTCTATAATTTTTGAAGAACATGGATATAAGAATACCAATGAAGAAGTATTAATCACATAAAAAAATCTTGGAACCTACCTGACCATCTCCCGGCTGAACAAAAACCAAATTATTATTTAGTCATTTATATATTATATATATTTTAACAAATTGAACAAACCGTAATAGTTTCGATGTCAACGCCCTATTTTCAAAAAACAAAAATAATAAATTTTTAAATCAATCCTAGAAACAAAAATACAAAAATGCCAGGTTATATAAGTTAGGTAACTACAGTTCTAACTTATATGTCTTAAACTGTCAAGATTTTACTGTCGCTATTCGTTATAGCAGGACATTAAAATTTGCTGCTCACAAAATCACTTTAACCTTGATTAATCTGTTTTAAAGAACAGCAATTTTCTAAGTTGACCAGTTGTTTTTTAGCAACCATAATTACCATGATAAAATACGGTTAAACGACGAAAGACGAAAGAAAGGTACGTACACTCCCTTCACATTGATCACCCGGAATTTTGATAATCATGTTACCTAATGATGACTGAGCCCGACGTTATACGTACAAACAATTCAATTGATTGCCTATAATATACGGAGAGATCTCCTTAAATACACCCTCTCTAAATGCTAAAATGCACTCGCCCAATTATATACTTGATTCTTATAAATGCACATTCTCTTATTGTTCTCTAAATGTAGGTTTTTAGAAGTTCGATTTCCTATGGTGTGCATTTAGAGAGGTCTTTCTGTCAGGGTTGATAAATTACCAACAAATTGCCAAAAACATAAGTAATTTACAAGTAATTTTACAGTAATTTACGGTAATTTACGTAATTTATGTAAAATTAGTAACTCTGCTCTCTGTATCTTTTTGATCTTCGTTAATTCCATAGCTTTTATATTACATTTGAACAAAAATATGACTATTAACTAGGTCTCAGGCTCGGGCGTTGCTCCAGGTTTAAATAATGCTCTGGGTCGTAATGTTTGTAGTTAACTATTATTTATCGACTTAACTAAGTCAATATTTAAGGGTAGAGTACAACGTTGATCATTTCTATATATAATTAGTTGCAAATTTTTATTACTTTGTTTTTGATTTAATTTTTTGAAAAAATATATTAAGTAACTAAATTTTAATACTTATATAAAAGTTGTAAAGTAGGTCTTTCTGATTCTAATGATAGTAAAATTATTAAAATTGGGTAAAAACTCATCAAGATATGAGTTTTTAAACATT